GTCACTGTTTGGGTAGTATTTAGATGCAACATGAAAAATACATTGTTACTGTTTGGCTATGTCCAGAAAAAATATGGGAAATGCATTACCAACATTTTTTTTTCTTTTTTTGGCTTTATACCATGGTTGAGCATACAATCCCTATTAGTATGTAGCTCAATCTTTATCCCTATTAGTATGTAGCTTAAACTTTATAATTGCATGAGGCATAAGAATTAGCCACACCTTTTGTATGCCTTTGTGTCTTGACTTGGGATAAGTGTTTTCAAGATGTTAACACTTTGAAATAACATACTTTTTATTATGATAAGCCATCAATTTTTTTATGTTTTATTTTCTTGTGCTAAAGCCTTTCGATCATCCCTCTTCAAAAAACTTCCATGGGCAAATTCAAAACAAAAAAATGTTTGGAGAAATTTGACTAGTAACCTAGAATGCTTTATGACTAAATGAGATGTAATGGAGGAAAAATTACGTTGGGGCATTGGAGGAGATTGAAGAGGTAAATTAATTTAAAAAATATACCACATTAAATTTTTTATAGAAAATAAACTAGTTTCAAACAAAAATTTACAACTACCAATAACATTCAAGCCCTAAATATACTACATTAAATTTTTTATACAAAAGAAAACAGTTTCATACAAAAATTTATAACTACCGAAAACATTCAAGCCCTAAATACACCACATTCAATTTTTTATACAAAAGAAAACAGTTTCAAACAAAAATTTACAACTATGAAAACATTCAAACCTTAAATATACCACATTCAATTTTTTATACAAAACAAAACAGTTTGAAATAAAAATTTACAACTATTAAAAACATTCATGCACTAAATATACACATTCAAACCAATCTCTATTCTTTTAGATAATCTCAACAAAGTGGATAATCAACATTGAGACAGATACACATGGATTAAATTTATACTCCTTGATCAATTTAAAAACTCAGATTAAAATATTCAATACATGCACATGATCAATTTTATTTCTCAGATTTCATACAATGGACTGATTTAGGGCTAAAATTGAGCTCCACAAATTCACCTCGTTTGAGAGGGCCTGTTTGAGGGGTAAATCGTGGAGAGAGAGAGCACTACCGGAAGAGAGAGCCCCACTTCAGAGCTGGTGTACATTTTTGTCTACCCTATTCCTGATTAAAAAATTCTTCTAATCTCTCTCTCTTTATAATAACTAGATGATTCCTCCCTTTTTAAGCTCGTCCACTTATATGAAGGCATCAACTATCATATAAAAACAAAAATAATAAAAATAAAAATCATTAATCAACGACAAATTGCATAGCACAGTCATAATAAAAAATTTCACACAACATAATATGATCCCTCCCTTTTTAAGCTTGTCCTCTCATCTGAAGACATCAGTGTCATGTAAAAACAAAAATAATAAAAATAAAAATAAATAATCAATAATAAATTACACAACACAATTATAATAAAAAATTTCACACAACATAATCCTTATAAGAGATTACAAAAATCTCAATTGAAATGACATAGTCTCCTCCAATACCTCAAAATTTTATACTGCAATTACCAAACCTTTTAGTTTACTAATCAAATTTATTCCTATTTTTTAACTCGTACCCTACCAATTTTGAATTTAGTATCATAAATTTGTCGTTTATTTGAAGTTATGTAGAGAGACATTTGAAAGACTTCTATAAAAAATAAATAAAAATAAGGCTTGTCGTAATAAAATCATGTTATTCCAATCACATTGTTCCAATGATTTATCATGTTGAAACCAATGTCATATTAGAAAACATGTGATTGCATATAAGTGCCAAAGGCACTTAAAACATGTCATGGCTGTAAAATGGTACAAGTTATTATTAGAAAATATTTTTGGAAGGGTGATAATGTTATTATTAGAAATCTTTGGTGTGATGATGATTTTAATTTAGTATTTTAGTGGAATTTTGTGACAAAAAAGAAAGAAATAATAATTGTGCATTTTAGTGGAATTTTGTGACAAAAAGGAAAGAAATGATAGTTTATAGGCACGTGCTGGTAAAATATTGGTAATGTATTTCCTATATTTCTTTCAGACATAGCCAAACAATAACAACGTATTTCTCCAGTTGCATCTAAATACTACTCAAACAATAACAATCCATTTACAGGTAACGTATTATGCAGTAATGTATTACGTCAATAATATATTTCACAGACAATATATTTCTAGGTATCGGCCCCTAAGGGAAAAAGATAGGTTTAGAACTTTTGTTAAAAGGAAGATGGAGGAGAGGAAGGGGTAAAATGGCCATTTCTTATATGTCTTTCAGACATAGCCAAACAATAACAATGCATTTCTCGAGTTGCATCTAAATACTACCCAAATAGTAACAATCCATTTACAGGTAATGTATTATATAGTAATTATTACGCCAGTAATATATTTCACAAACTAGCGTAATATATTTCACAAACAATATATTTCCAAGTATCGGCCCTAAGGGGAAAAGATATGTTTAGAACTTTTGTTTAAAGGAAGAGAGAGGAGAGGAAGGGGTAAAATGGTCATAGGTTTAGAACTTTTGTTAGGTGAGGGCAGTGATTCAAAAGTTGGCGAGTCCAATCGAACTCGTTCGATTCGACTCAAGAACCGGCAGACCCGAGCCGGTTCCAATGAACTATCGAAAATTGCTCGGTTCTAGAGAAGAATCGGTGATTCCATGCTGTAAATCGCCATGTGACGTCATGATTCTCCCGTCCGATTCGACTCGAGAATCGGCAGACCCGAGCTGGTTCCGGTGAAATATCGAAAATTGCCCGGTTCTAGAGAAGAACCGGCGATTCCATGCCTTAAATCGCCATGTGATTTCATGATTCTCTCGATTCTTTGATTCATGACATCATGGCTAGCCGATTCTTCAATGGCCATTTTTGTAAAATTTTCTTCGATTCATGACGTCATGGCCCGTCGATTCTCGATTCTTCTACGATTCTTCAATGGGCACTTTTGTAAATCTAGAATCGGGATTCCATACCGTAAATCGCCATGTGATGTCATGATTCTTCCGTTCGATTCGACTCGAGAACCGGCAGACCCGAGCCGGTTCTAGTGAAATATCGAAAATCGCCCGGTTCCAGAGAAGAATCGACAATTCCTTGCCATAAATCGCCATGTGACGTCATGATTCTCCCGATTCACGTCATGGCCCGCCGATTCCCGATTCTTCAAGATTCTTCAATGGGCATTTTTGTAAAAAAAATTTCGATTCATGATGTCTTGGCCCACCGATTCCCAATTCTTCAATGGGCATTTTTGTCGATTCCTGATTCTTCAATGGGCATTTTTGTAAAAAACATTTCGATTCATGACGTCATGGCCCACCGATTCTTCAATGGGCATTTTGTAAATTTTAAAAAGTACATTAACCTTTAGGTCCGCACACCACGTCACGTGACTCTCCTCACTTCGTACGTGTTATCCTTGTTAACTACAAAGAGGTATTTATTCACTACAACTTCGTTCTACCTCTTTGATATGGGATAATGTGAAGGTATTAACTTGAAACATTAATATATTATATATTTTGTTCGCGCTTTTAATACTACTAAGTAACATGTGGCTTGTTGGTTATAACTTTCTTTGTGTATTTTCCTTGGAAGGGTTCTCTTATCAACTATTTTTCTTGAGGGTGTGGGTACATTCTCCTTGGACGAACGAGTTCTCTTATCAACTATTTTTCTTGGGTTCCATTTTGGGTTCTCTTATCAACTTTTTTTCTTGAGGACCAAAGGGGGTTCTCTTATCAACTATTTTTCTTGAGGACGAAAGGGGGTTCTCTTATCAACTATTTTTAAGGGGGTTCTCTTATCAACTATTTTTCTTGGGTTCCATTCTCCTTAGACGAAAGGGGGTTCTCTTATCAACTATTTTTCTTGAGGCCAAAAGGGGGTTTTCTTATCAACTGTTTTTCTTGAGGGTGTGGGTTCCATTCTCTTTGGACGAAAAGGGGTTCTCTTATCAACTAGGGGGTTCTCTTATCAACTATTTTTCTTGGGTTCCATTATCCTTGAACGAAAGGGGGTTCTCTTATCAACTATTTTCTTGAGGAACAAAATGGGTTCTCTTATCAACTATTTTTCTTGAGGGTGTGGGTTACATTCTCCTTGGACGAAAGGGGGTTTTCTATCAACTATTGTCTTGTCAA